TTTTATTTGAATAAATGAACTTCATTGGCATCACAGGATTTGTTTTTCATACCGGCATTGTGCCGGATATTAATGATATTTTTTCGGAATCCTTKGCTGAAATCGATGGAATCTTTAAGCCCTGGGTATCACTGTGACTGACAAGGAGGTGTGGAGGGAAGTCGTTARARGAATCTCGACCGAGGMMGAMGGATGATRATGAATGAGATTTTGTCCAAGTTTAATAAATTGTATTTTTTTATTCAAAAATTCGATTTAAAAGTAAAAATSTTCATAATCAATAATAAGTTGCTAGTGAAGTTAAAAGAGCCAGCCATACAACAAAAGAATGGTACAACATCATTAGGCTTCCACCTGTAAAAAAACAACAATTTTATAGGCATTGTGGGAGGACAGAAGATCATAAACTGATCGACAATGATGAAACTCTCCCTGTTGACAGCATATATACTCACYACTGAACTGTGCTTTAAATCCTTTATATACTGTCGTTGAATTGCCATCACTGGTAAAACGAACCCAYATTTGATTGGTGGATGAAGTCACTGTAGAGGGTATGGCRTCGCCACAGAATCTCCCGAGTATTTTCCCATATCGTCCCCATGCCCCTTCTCGTACCTCCACAAAATCATTACTGCAGTCACCTTGGCTTGTTTTAGWATTCTCAAGACTAAAATCAGTGAATGTCARCTTTGCTTTTAGTCCCTCGGGCACAGTAATGTGCCAGGTACATAATTGGGTCGGTGGGTATTTGGAAGGGTACTTAGGRCTCGTAAAACTRCCACTAGATCCATTAAGATGGTTGTCACAGTTACCTGACACATAAAATATAATCACTTTTAAATTCGATTTGAATGTTCTGCAGAGAGTTTCGCGCACATAGTAAAATCATCTCACGAATGGCTTTCCAACCACTCCTAATTTGATGATATTCCGATTAATGATTCTAATACCACATCAGTCGTACGACATGCATCACAATTTTATATTTCAAACGTTAGTGTGCACCATTATCAGTGATCCCGATGAAATTTTTCTGAGATCCCGATCCCAGCCTTTATGATCCCGATTTCATGACTTATGTTCCCTGCGTGTGACTGACTGTTGTTTCATGCACACTTCTTAATGAGGCATACTCACTGTTAGCYGTTGGTGCCACTAGTCTAATTTCTCCTTTGAAACCTTTAAACGTTGATGTTCCATCAGACCTAAACTTGACCCACATGACGTCATACCCATAGTACCTCAGCTTCTTGTTACCAAGGAGTTCCACCAGGGATAGCGATTTAATATAATTATCAGACAAGACGGAACACTTGCCAGAATTCCTCCATCGAGCTGCCCACTCGGAACTTGCAGTAAGCAAGTAATCACTACCGCAGTCCTGAGACGGTTCGATCTCAAAGTGTTCCAATATCAAAGCTAAACTATAACCACGAGGTCCYGAGATTCTCCACAAACACGTGACATTTATGGGATAGTTGTCAGGGAAACCAGGTGACGTAATGGTGTGTTTCCAGCCCGGTGTTAATGATGCTGTTATGTTTACTGGTATATTATCTGGACAAGCTGATCAATAAGATTTGTATTAACATTAAAGTCAAAAGTGTATCACTGGAAAAAATTCGCGCGCATTAAAGGTTGTAAATTTGAMGTAAATATGATGTATAGTAAGTGTCCAAAATTCTGTAAATCTAATGGAAATCATTTACATCATATTTACATCAAATTTACAACCTTTAAAGCGCGCGATTTTTTCCAGTGTATGAGGGAACATTGATTTCTATCATAACATAATACAATGTAATAATAATCAAATTGCAGGATTTATTTTATTCAAAATAACGAATTCCATTATTCAAGTAGTCGTTATTCATTATTTTTACTCACCATCACAATTTGAGCTTGACAAGACTGTGCTGATAACTGTAAAGAAAGTCAATGAAACCCTGAGCCCACGTTACTTTCTGTCTATGTGTCACRCAACATGACCAAATCCCCCTCGACCCCAGACCCCATTAGTCTCGTATTATCTCCAATTATGTCAATGACGGAAGTCCTCACAACGTGTCAAATCCGCGAAGACCGTGTAAAACACGAAAAGTTTCCTTTTCATCGAGAAATTCTCGGAATTCATTCAGACATAATAAATAACAATGGCAAAGTGATTTACTCGTGACAAGGTGGTTCTCCCTTGAATAATTTCAGGTTTCTTGGCGGTCGCAATGTCTCTGATATTTGTGAACAGCTACTCCTAAGGAATTCGTACTTGATCAAGATAGTGGCTTTACGACTTTCAATCCATATTATAACTTTATGAATACAAAAAACGTCTTCGTTTCTAAACTCATTGCCATTTGTTCGGCCACAAATTTGAGTTAGAGTAWGGTCAACCATACTGAACTAAAACTGATCAAAATGCCTTCTGCTTGTGTTGATATTACAAATAAATCTCTTATCTACAGAAATCATAAATAAACCGGCTCTTATGATTAAATGATCTACTTACCAAAAGCTATTGCAATATTACCAACAGTCATCTCTCTTTCAGCTTAGATTATTCAATGACCTTCTATACGAAACCTTTTATGGTATGACTACRTTATAATGACAAAAGTTTGACTGAATGACTCTACTTAACCGGAAGGATGCGCGCAACTGAAACGAAAATCTTCTAATGAACACAGGAAGACCAAAGTCCATAATATGACACACCCCATTCTCTTACCCAGATCCTTCTGAAGTCGAAGACTGGAGACGATAGGGAGATCCTACGTAGCACTCAGTTGATGTAATATATTCATAAAGATATAATACAAACACATAATACAATAGAACGAGAAACAATRGAATACAATACATTTTATGAATACATTACATCAACTGCGTGCTACGTAGGTCCCCCCGGAGAACGATACTGTAAGACCCAGAAGCTGGTTCGCACAATAAATACATGATGGCGCATGAGAATTTTTTAACCAATCAAATCAAAGTCTCATTCGTCTCCAACCTTAGACTTCGATTTTCATTTGGGAAACTGAGGGGGATCTGGGTACGAGAATTGACACGCCCTCCCTCCCCCTCTGCATTTTTATGGTTGGTTTTCACTATACATGACGGGGGCCATCTTGGAGGAAATTCAACAAATGATTTCTTCTAAGTATCCGTTGTTCATTTCTCCACATGGCCACCGGCCTTTTATCTTTTGAATCTCATGGGAATGATTGAACAGAACTATGCATGTATTTGTATGTATGTATGATGGGTATTATAATGACGTCAGAAAATGATCGAAACACGGACAGAAACACTGAAAAATTGTGGATTTTGTGACCATCGAGAAAATTATTTTCTTCGTCTTTTTTAGTACAAAAAAAAACCTATCAAAAAACATCCGCAACATCTAGGACATCATCCAGGGGAAAAGAACATCCGAGGGTGCGAAAATTGATGATTCTTTGAGGCGTCGTAGGAGCAATTATTTCAAATTGTTGCTCCCAGAAGCCTAAAATAGTCTGTACTTGTCCASTTGACAAAAGGTTTCTTTCTTTGTGTGTTTGTTTTCATGTTTGTCATTATTCAAATTTAAAGAAGTTGCCAAGAATGTTCTGGTAAAATCCAGATTTCTCTAGAAATTCGATACTATTTCCTATTTTCCCCTTGACTACAAAAAGTATATGACGTAAAGTTTCATCCATATATGGATAATTGATCCAAATATGGTCAAAGATGGCCGACCAGATCTTTGACAYATAAAAGCTCCTACACGTGCATAACGCCCGGTATTGGAGAAAAGAAAAAGAGTRCTACAATTTTGTACTTGTATTATAACTTATATAGCAATATTCTCACTTGATCGCTGAATTTCGTTGCAAGTATTGAAGAATGTCCGTAGTTGGGTTTGATGTTGGAAATCAGTCTTGCTATATCGCCGTGGCTCGAGGTGGAGGGATTGAAACGATCACCAACGACTACAGTGACCGAAGTACACCGTACGTACTATTCGTCTTCACGCTAAATACTATGTGTCAGACATTATATATTCTTTTTATTGTCTGTTTATTTCATATTTAGCTAGTTTTAAATCTGTGCCGGTGAATAATTGCGCAAGATTTTCGTTTTATAATTTATTAATCTTCACTTTCTGGTCTGGTGTGAATGAAAAAAATTTCGATTTTAATAAGCTTACATAAATACAAGTATGTAAASGATGTAGTTGTTTGTTGTAGATGTGTTGTATCACTTGGAGAAAAAACAAGACAGATTGGGAACTCTGGAAAGAACCAGGTATGTTTTAAATTTTCTCAAACTTCTAACACAAATCTACAAATTACAAGGTACAATTCACCATAAGCAAGCTTATTATGCATATCTAATGTTGGTTTGACCACCTAATCTTAAATATGTCATTTATCATTGTGGCATATTTGAGTACAAATCGATATTGTATATATTTTGTTGTGTTTTAGATGGTATTCAACTTAAAAAATACCATAAGCCAGGTTAAAAGATTTATTGGGAGAAAATTTAGTGATCCTGTAGTCCAACAAGATTTGAAAGAAGTTCCATATGAAGTGATAGGGTTGCCTGATGATAAAATTGGTATAAAGGTATATAAGTTTTTACTATTAATAGAATTGTAATCATTATGATAATGATGTCTGTGGCCTTCTAAACGAAAGTGCTGTAAAAATCAAATCCCATAGAAATTAATCAGTAAAACCAATGATCAATGAAAATTGATATTAATGGAAGTAATTGAATCCATTRATATTGGTAATCAGTGATTTCAACCATGACTACAAAATTTAAAACTGTTTGTCRGCTATCATCATATGTTCGATATAAAACTACAACACAACACCATGACTAAATTWATTGTGTGGTGTTAARACAATCAACACATAARCCATACTATATTCATGGTAGCAGAAATGTTGATAATAAATGTAATATTTAATAAGCAAGAGTTGTTTCTGTTACAGTTAATGCATGATTGGTCAATGACAAAGTTCCTTTGAAAGTAGGAAGTAGTAGATAACAATCACTGATAATTGGCATAATTAATGCCTTCACTATTAATCATCAATTGCTAATATTAATTTAGATTAATCAAATAATGTTTGTAATTAGTATTGATTAATTATTTCACTAACCAACTATGGGATCAAGTTTATTGTTCAAATTTTAGGATTATTCACAAAATGAAAAAATGTGCAGCATTTTTTGCAATAATGTCAAGTGAACTTTGCAGATGCATCTCCCTCCATAACTTGAATGAGCACATCACAATTTCAGCAAGTTTACATCTTTCTGGATTCTTAAGTGTTGTGTTGTTTTGTAGGTTCGTTATTTACGTGAAGAAGAAATATTCTCTCCTGAGCAAGTGATGGCAATGATGTTTACTAAACTCAAATCAATAACGGAAACAGGGTTGGTGACTAAAGTCACTGATTGTGTCATATCTGTAAGTATAATCAATATCCATTTATTCTGTTATGATTGCTAAAATAACCTAGTTTAAGCTTTCGTATTTGTTACGACGAAATGATGCAAGAAATTTTGTTTGGTTTTATCACAAATCTGAATTGCACATAAAGAAAATATATGTCACTGCAAATTCTAATAGTTCAAAATAGTGAAAGCTGCTCCAATGTTGACTTGAAACTGTCATTTGAAACAGAAATCCCTGTTACAGAAATCCCTGTTAACATTGTTTGACAGATTTTCCTCTCATGTTTGTGAACATGCAATCCACAAGATCACTGTTGTCAAAAAATAATTATTTGTATAAATTACTGTTTTTACAAGGTTCCCAGCTTCTATACAGATAGACAGAGACGAGCCATGTTGGATGCTGCTTCAATGGCAGGTTTGAACTGCCTGAGACTGATGAATGATTCTACTGCAGGTAATAATTAGGTCAAAATCATCACATATATAATGAAATGGTTATTATAATTATTAGATTATCCAGGATAGGTATTCTAATGTCWGAATAAAGGCTAAATAATTCACATTGTAATGCAGTTTATAATGTTTTTGATTATAGCAATRATTCGGTCTACAATGTAGCATCTAATCAGTATATAGCAACAAAAACTTTATATAACAAGTACAGCAAGATTTCTTTAGTGACACCCATTATACACTAATCTGACCAATGAAAATACTCCATTTCATTTTATCACAGTTGCCCTTGCATATGGTATATATAAACAAGACCTCCCCACAGACAAACCTAGAAACATTGTGTTTGTGGACATGGGGCATTCTTCCCTTCAGGTCTCTGTTTGTGCTTTTCTCAAAGGACAGCTTAAGGTAAGCACAATCTTTTACACAACTGTTTCTTTAGAAACACCGATGCAGCTCACACTATTTTTTTTGTTTGTTTTGTTGTTGTTGTTGTTTGGTGTTTGACATTTAATTGATGGGAGTGTTGCTGTAATTATTTCTAGGTCCTTTCAGTTGGTTCTGACCCAAATCTTGGYGGACGAGACTTTGACAAGAGAATTTGCTGTCATTTTATTGAGGAATTTAAGGTAAACTTTTTACATGTAATAACTATAAATTTCYTCAAGATATTCTTGGGGGCTGTGAAGTTTATTACCATGTCCAGGCTGAAGGCCTGCGGCACACTTATAAAATGCAGCAACTTTATTTTTTTTTATCATTATTTTTTCCATGTCTATACACTATACACTTAACGTATTAAACCTGGACAAGGTATGTTCCAGGAAGTGGTTCTTGTTGGTTAAAGTAGTGAGCTGATGCATGATAACACCCACAACTACTGCTGATATGAGTAAATTGTTCACTGCCACAAACCCTAAAGCAGTATGATGTGCAGTTGTTCAAAGATGCATGTTTGTTTTCAGACCAAATACAAGATAGATGTGTCAACAAGTGGCAAGGCAAAGATGAAGCTAATCAGTGAATGTGAAAAGCTCAAAAAGACCATGAGTTCCATTTCTACTGATGTTCCTCTGAACATTGAATGTCTCATGGAGGATAGGGATGTATCAGGACATATGAAGCGGTATGTCTTTACTGCCTGACATTCTATCATAATAATAAGCATTCAAACTGTATGTAAAATGTACCATTTAACACAGCAATGGAGCGGTATGTCTTWACTGCCTGAAATTCTACCATAATTATAACCATTCATACTGTATGTAAAATGTACCATTTAACACARCAAAGGAGCGGTATGTCGTTACTGCCTGATATTCTACCATAGCAGTGCATGCAGTTCATACATTTCTGTCACAGAAACCATCTTTATCWGTTGCCACAGTAAGGCTGACTAAATGCTCTAAGAACATCAAGCTGTATGCTGCTTATCATGAGTGGTTTGCTTTTTCATGTTGAAATTGAATTTTTAGAAATAACATTCAATCTGGCTGAGAAAAAAACAACAAGTGTAGATTATGAAAATCAGATTATGAAAATCTGTGATTTCTAATGTGATTTCCTCAGGAATTTTTGTATTGTTTTGCTGCTGTATGTATGTAGTATTTTTTACTGTTTTGTTGCTTTGTGTATATAATTGTTTATTGTTTTGTTSCTGTGTGTGTTTTTTTATTGTTTTGTTGSTGTGTGTGTGTAGTTATTTACATTGTTTTATCACTCATAGAGCTGCCTTTGAAGAAATGTGCAGCGACTTGATAGAGAGGTTTAAACTTCCACTAACAAATGCCATGGAGCAGTCTGGTAAGTCTTGAAGTATATGCATAAATAAATTTTGCATTGAAATGAAAGATATTGTGACTTGTACTTAGACATCTTGTACTTTTACAAAAAAATTCTTATTGACTGACTTAGCTTAGACAAGACAAGTTACCAAAATCTTAAACAACATTTTCTTGTTTGGACTTGGAGTACATACATAATGTATCCCCCAAGCTCTTAGTGTTGTGAAGTAACGTTATTCCAATTTCTCAAGCATGCTGCAAAGTTGGCTAGTTTATTTAACCTAGTGTACCTAATAATTTTTATCATAAAATTTTTGATATATAACATGCGCTCTGATTGGCTGGCGACTATGTTTATATCAGAGGACAGAGACACGGCTTACTGGCAAAATTTGTTTTTCGCTCGAAAAATGCAGACAAATTTTATAAAAGAACTATAAAACGACTGCCTGTGTCTCTGTTCTCTGATATAAACACAATGGGAGTTGAGAAACATGAGAGAAGCAAGCTTAGAATCACGAGCAACCAATGTAGTAAAGTATTACCATACTTAAATGAATTAGTTTGTTCTGAAAAGTTTTTACAATAAGTTACTTTATTTTCCAGGACTGAAGCTAGAAGACATCACAGCAGTGGAGATAGTTGGTGGCTCAATTCGTATTCCCATCTTTAAAGAAATTATCAAAACARTGTTCAAAATGGAGCCAAGTACAACGCTTAATGCTGATGAAGCTGTTTCCAGAGGCTGTGCACTGCAGTGTGCTATGTTGTCTCCTACATTCCGTGTCAGGGAGTTTGTTGTCAATGATATAGCATCTTATCCTATTGTTCTTACATGGAAAACACAGAGTGATGAAGACCCTGGGTAAGTAAAATCCGGTATTTTAGGGAAGCAACGGTAGCCAAGCGGTGAGAGGGCTAGCCTGTCACCTCGGTTGGGACACCATATGTGATTTGAGTTTCTTTCGTTCTCATCATTTGCTTTGAGTTTTTTTTCGGGTTTTTTCTGTTTTTTCCTCCCTCAGTAATAACAAACAATTTCTATCTGCTGTGCTCTGTGGTAAGTTGATGTTGTTATGTAAAGGAAGTGCCTAGCCAGCAGCACGCCTATGTGTAAGTGTGTGTAAAATGTGTCTATAATATAGTACTTCAACTTGAGAGCGTGTTGATCTGCGTCTTTCACAAGTCAGCACCCTTGCTGCCATGAAGAACGATTAACAAACAACACCTTCTTCACTTTCCCCTTTTCCCTGTTATTATGCACCACAATATTTTCTTGTAGCTAAAATGTAAATCTGTTTGAATATGTACTGACATCTTAACCAGCATAGCATCACTCTGTTTTGGTTATTTTTGTAATATTTTTCTTGCTGACATGAGTGTTGAGTGTTTGTTTTTTTGTTTTTTGCAGAGAAATGGAGCTGTTTACACCTAACCATCCATTCCCCTTTTTAAAAATGTTAACATTTTACCGTAAAGAACCATTTGAACTAGAAGCACATTACAAATCCAACACAAACCTCCCCACCAAGAATGGCTTCCTGGGTGAGTATGCATTTATAATTCTTATTATTCTTACTTTACTAGTAAAAGATAAATAATRTAAGTTTACGCAGACCCAGGATTGTCTACTGGAAGAAGTGTAGGCCATTAACAATATATTTCACAAGAAGAGTTCCAAAAGATAGTGTTAATCTAAGCACAGGAGTGCATAAAACTATTTGATTAAATTGTTTTTTGTTTGTTGTTGTTTTTCATGCTTTTAACTTCCATGTTTGTGTATGTCAGTAAACAGTTTTTTTTTCTTTCTTTAGGTAAATTCTCTGTCCAAAATATAGTTCCTTCACCTGATGGCGATTCGTCAAAAGTCAAAGTCAAAGTTCGTATGGACATCCATGGCATTTTTAGTGTTTGCTCAGCACAACTTGTAGAAAAGCTTTTAGAGCCTGAACAAGAAACACCTGAACCCATGGAAACAGCACCAGAAGGAGACAAGAAAACTGAACAACAGCAAGTGGATGGCGAAGCTACTGAAGCAACAACAGTGGTATGAAAACAAGCAGTGGACAACAATGCCATTTTGTGCAGCAAGCATCGCAGCAAGCTAGTTGTATTCCTCGTACTACGTGTCACCTAAAGCAACACCATSATRCTCTGCTGCACAAAATRGCATCGCTGCACATTGTATATTATCAAAAATTGTAAAGCATATTGAAACTGGTTAAACTGATCACTAAATCGAAGTCTTATTATTAGTCACTCAACCTAGTAAAATGTCTGGTAATCACAAACAGCTTTACAAGGAACTGTCTGGTAATCACAAACAGCTTTACAAACGAACTGTCTGGTAATCACAAACAGCTTTACAAACGAACCTTTAGAACAATGTTTGGGTGTAAAAACCTATAAAAATATTACTTGGAACTGTCAAATTCAAACAACAGTTAGGGCTTTCTATGGTCAGTTGAAAATGTACGTGTTTATAACAAGTTATTTGTAATTGGAGGTTGTACTTGATTATACATTGGGTTATTGAGGGGGACAATATTTAATTGAAATGAAGTAATGTAGGTATCAGTCCTTATCAAGATATACACATAATTTGAAAAAGGTTGTAGAGAGTGGCAGAAGGAAATGGTTGAAATAGTGATGCTAAACTTTTATCTGATACAAAAACCGTTTCTCTTGGAATAGAATAATACTGAAGAAACTCCTAAAGAAAAGACCACAGGGGAGCAACCAATGGATGTTGAAGTATAGTTTGATTATTATTATTTTGTTGTTTCATTGAGAACTTTCTTCTTGTTATAATTTTCACTATTTATATTGASTTTTCTGTCTTTATCATTGACATCATCATGACCACCAACATCGGCAGAAAGTTAATTTGTACGTTCGATTTTTGTAATTTTTCAAAAACACATAAAATCATCACAAAATCTTGTTTTCTTTTTGTAGTTAAAATCATAATTTATAGAAAATGGAATAATTTGTTTCATTGAGAACTTTCTAAATATATTATATTGTAAAAAAAGACAATTTCTCTTGTTTAATCTTATTTCATTAGCAATTCATAATGTTGTGTGTTTGTATTTTTTAGGCTGAAAATAAACAAAATGAACCCAAAGAAAACAATGATAATAAAACTGAGGGCTCAAAACCCAAGAAGAAGAAACAGTCAGTAAAAACAACTGATCTTCCTGTAGACTTTGTGGTTCCTTCACTTCAGAAGAAGCAACTGATGGACCTTATTGAGAAGGAGGTTTGTAACAAATCTTATATCTCTGTTATCTTGTGAGTTGATACCTTGGTTTTTGCCTATGCTATCATGGCTTTCTTTCCAGTCATTATTATCATTTCCTGGTCTTCTAGTTTACCTGCATAGTATTGATTATCATGATTTATCGTGTCCAATTTTAGCTTTGATGCTCATTTATATGATACATATAATGCTGGGTTCCCTTTGGAAAAAAGTAGGGAAAAGGGGACTCGCCTCGTTACCAGTCCCGCTCTCTTACTGATCTACACAGAAAGCCCGCTAGGCGGAGGCTACACTTTCACAGTCAAGACAATTTCACAAATTCTTCTTTTTTAGAACTCGATGATCATGAAAGATAGATTGGAGCAAGCAAGAGCAGATGCCAAGAACAGCGTTGAAGAATATGTGTATAACATGAAAAATGATTTACTCGACAAATACGAACAGTTCGTTACCGAGCAAGATAGAGAAAAGTTTGAAGCGATACTTGACGACGCTGAGAACTGGCTGTATGACGAAGGAGAAGAACAATCTAAAAAAGTTTACCAAGACAAATTAGCAAGTCTAAAGGTGAGAAAGTGGTCTTAGTTTGCAATATATAACGGTATATTAGTTCTTAACCTTTCAGTCCACTCTTTGTTCCCACTTTCCAATTTTCTAACATTCCTTTTCTTACAGAAAATCGGCGATCCTATAGAAACACGTTATAAAGAACATTCATCCCGTCCCGAAGCCTTCAACGCACTAGGCAAGTCCATACAACAAGTCCACAAAGCCTTGGATCTCATTGCACAAAAAGTAAGTGTAACTTTAATCGTATTTTCTAATCGGGACTGTCAAGTATACAGTGATTGTCATATAGGATTAGTCCAGACTGGCTTCTCAGGGCTTTGCCTGAGGAGGTCCAGTCCCGCTGGGCGTGGCTGGTGGGGGTACGGAGTGATGTCATACTTATGAAATCATCTTTAAATACAATACAATACAATACAATATACTTTATTAGTTTCCTCTGTGGGATCTTCCAACTAATTTACAAAGAAATATATAAGGAAAATTACAAATTGATATTCTGTAATACTTAAATAAACTAGTTTAATATACCTAAAGTATAAAATTGCTCTAAATTATTCTTTTAAAAATTCAGCCTTGAGGCTTTTCTTAAAACTATATAGAGTTAAATCTATAGAAAGTAGTAATTTTATTGTTGAACAATAGAAACTGTCTATTAGCGATTGATAATCCCTTCGATCGTGTTTCAGGATGAAAAGTACGACCATCTTACAGAAGAAGAAATTAAAAAGCTCCAAAAAGAAGTGAAGGAGAAAGAGAACTGGTTTAACTCCAAAAGTAACGCGCAATCAAAAGTCGTTGACACTAAAGACCCTGTGGTATTGACAGTAACCATTCTTGCTGAAAAACAGGTTTGTTTTGCTGTGACCCATAGTTAGTAGTAATCACGATTGTATAAACTATTCACTGCATTGTGATCTCTGGGTATTGAATGGTCTTCCTCTTTACTTACACAGAAACTTGAATCAGTATGYAATCCTATTTTAAACAAACCCAAACCAAAGAAAGAACCYCCACCGCCAAAAGAAGAAGAGAAAACAGACGACRCCGCAAAGAACGCAGACCCAGAAAACAAAGACAATCCAAAAGAAGGTGAATCGATGCAGCAAGACCAAGCACCTGAAGGAGAAAGCAAACCCTCAGACATGGAAGTAGACTAAAATGAGATTATTAATGAGAGTAATGAGAAGAAAAAAAAACAATGAGTAGCAAGCGATAGTAGGGAGAGTTAACGCTGTCTTGATTGTATAGTTGCATTCTTTACTTGAGTTTAAATTGTACCGTTAATGATTTTAAAATTGGTGGTAATTGACTTTGTAGCGTTTTCCCTTTTAAATTCTAGGTCTTTCTTTTCAGTGTCTCTTTTAAAATTGTTTTCTTGTGACTATTTAGAAATATTTTGAGATAACGTTTTAGGTATTAGTAGATTTTTTTGCTCAGTTTCAATGTTGCAAGCTTTTCATGATATTTTGCTGAATACAAGTTGATATTTTCTGTACTTGTTTTAGTGTTTTGTCGCAGTAAGTTGAAATAAAGACAAGCAACAGTACTACAAGACAGTGTGATGTGTATATAACATATCTATAATGAACTATTGCAATTTGGGACAMTACCTGAYCGGTCCACTTAAATTTAAAAATATKAAATATTAAAAAATTGTTTTTATAYTTTGATTCGTGGTTTTGGGATTAGCAGAACATGTCCCGCCCAACCCTGTACCCTATTCCTTGAAGCTAACTATGATTGGTTTTGGCTAAGATGGCGTTTTGTGAAATTTTCTTCAGTTTAAAGAAGATGACAACTAGAGTCTTGACAACTAGAGTCTTGACATGGTTTGACTGAAAATACACTTGAATCCATCAACGAACTGTCCACGAACTTGAGCAAGGGTTGTGGCGGGCGTAGAGGTCCGTGCGATCCCGAACACACCCGAGACTATCCGATGTATCATAATGATGAAGAATAAGAGTGAATATTATTCTTATCTTCTTTTTCCATATGCTGCGAGCTAGTCCGAATTCTTCAGTTTTTATACTCTGAGAGCATAATAAATGAACTGTATGTGTTAAAAATGCTCGTTCATATTGGGTGACCAGTCTTGAACACAGATCCCAGTCGATCCCAGAGTAAGGACTTGAGTGATGGGCAGTGCTTAAAAGAAAGAACTTGAAAATCAATAAACCTTGAACAAAAAAACGTGACAATACTACAGTAATTTCTTTGATATGARTTCGTTGAACCCGAAGGGCACGCCTTACGGTGTTATAGACAAGTATAGAGGTATCGAGCCTTTTGCAGGTCACTATGGTCACTACCGCTGACCATACGATTAYCATAATATGATCAAAATAGTCCATTTCCGCTAGTAAACTGATAGTGATTAACAGAAAATTTCTGTCGAAACGTCACGTCAACCTGTGCTAGTTGTACCCTGCGTGAACAATTACCTCACGAAGAAAATATATTTGGTATTCGAAAGATGCACTAGTAAACAACGTCACAGCTAACCAGCAATCTCGCTTACTCCTGTAACAATACTCCGAAATTTTGTAACTGCTATGACATTTTGAATAGAGAATGAACATGCCACTCGGAGAAKATTCCAGTCCATCGTCAAAATAAGATTTCAGCATAAATGTCTTTGGAATGTGATGATGATCATTGAGCCGTGTCCGACTTGACTCGGTCGTTATTTGACAAGCACTGGACGCCACAAATACAATGAAGACATTTGCATAGATTACGTTAGTTATTACTGCCGTAACTTAACATCAGCAAGGCAGATTGATCCACACCAAATTCAAGCGATGTCGATTGCAAGGGACGGGTCCTCTCGCGTAAGAGATAGGAAAACAAGTACYAATCTACGAGCGGAGTATACGGATTTAATCAATGCAGACGAGGGTTTGATAGAAGCGCGAAGATGGATCGAGGTATGTTTTGTGACCCTCCGAGTTCGAATTTTCCCACATTTAGCATCAATTCCAATTTGTTGTTTTTACTCGACAGAGAGTGACCTTTACGAWGTTCAAAAACAACGATTTCAGAGAATCGCTGGCAGATGGAGTGCTCCTTTGCGAGTAAGTCTATATTTTAGTATTAAATTCTGCGGTTGTGAGTTTTGAAGTAGTGCCTTTAATAGAATTTCAATTAACACAACAATCGTATCGTCCAGGTGAATGTAAACACCCGCCAGAAACCTCGATTTTCGTACACTTCCAGCACAGGAGTGCTATATGTACTTTATTTCTATGCTCGGACGTTRTTCCCGCTGAATTTCAGATTCCGTTATCTCGAGCAATTTGCCCAATAAAAGACCGATTACATGTAGTATAGTTGTCACTCTATTATTTTGATTTCATTYGGAATTTCCATACTGTCACCTCAGGAGATCATTTCTGAAGCAATTTAAAAGTTTTGTACGTGGTTACAAAGACAATTCAAATTCATCAGAAAGTGATAAACGTTATTGCTTCAAAGCGCTCCGTTCTCTTGAAAAGCTCTACAACTGTTTGAACATTCACTCAGATCTCAAAAATATATTGACTTTTTGAAAATGATTGTTCTAAGTTATCCGAAAACAATTGTAGTTTTTTTTAGGAATCTCTCGTTATATTTTCGTGACTTTAGTCAGCGTGAAAYTTGATCTCAGCTCTTCAAGGATGAAATATGACCCAGTTATAAATATGCAAGAATAAAGCTCTTCCGTGATAATGAGAGAGTAGAAAATAGAATTTCCCAGGTGCTTGATGTTGTATTTATACGATACTTGTGYTGTCATTGTAATAATTTTGTATGTAAGCTTTGTTTGCGGAGACAATTCACTATTGCAATAACCATTGAATGGCACAGTAATCCCTTATAATTACATAAGGAAATTGAAATTATTTACCGTGAACTATGTATATTTGTAATTATTATTCACACAGTTTTAACCAAGTATTTTGTATTTATCAATTGACTTTGTTCTTTTCTTATTCAATACTTCTTTCCCTGTTGTTGACATGATTRCAAATAAAAGTATTTAAATATCAGAGTTGGGTCAGACATAGTTGTCGTCTAGTAATTTATCATTCCAGTTTGTTACAATTCCAGTTACTTTGTTATCTTTGCAAACAACGATTTTGATCGATTGTTTGTCCCGACTTATTTCTCTGAGATAATGTCACTCGATATAAAGAAAAATCGCTTCTAAAACCAGTAGTGTTGGAGCAGTAAAATGTCTAAAAACGTTTGTGTTTACTACTATTAGACTCTTTGAATGTCGATAGATACTGTAATTATAATAATTTTTAGTTCAAATGACACTGTTCAAATATTTATGTCGCAGTTGTCAATTGTTATTGACTTTCTATAAGTTTGATTTGAATATGTATTAAAATGATGTTCAATTTTCTTAATTGAAAATCGCTTAGAATACATCATCATAACATTCCATACATTCCTTTTAATATGTGCAATGGTATTAGTCATTCTCATCGCTTCATTTACTATTCTAAACTTATCAACTATGAGTAGATCCACGCCCTTGAAGAAAGAATATAGATGACGATGCCGGCAAATTCAATTGTCTGAAGCAAAGCGTGGAATCTCCTTGTTTGATAGCTTTGTCGAAACCGACCAAATCTTACTGTGTACTCGCTATTTTACCGCGCCTTCTGTACTTGTACACAACACGTTTCTTTGTCGCACCGCTAGATTGCCAGACTACTTTGTCGATACAGGGGTTTGTAATTGCATCACTAGTGCACAAATGTTGCGTGACAGCAAACTACTCAGGGCACTAAATAAACCAAGCTTAAGTTATTTTTTGACTTTTCTGAGTATTTTTATGAAGGTAACGACTGGTCTTTGTTCGAAGCTTCGAAATTTATATCTTTTTTAATAATTTTCCTGTTTTCATACTTCGCAATTTACATACTAGTTTTTCGTTTTACTTTCTTTTGTTTTGAATTCAAAAGGGTTTTTTTTGCTCTTTACGGAATGTAAGCACACTTTAATTAGCCCTAATAGCGAGTTGTTTTCTTTTGTAAATGTCTCCAGAATATAAAATGTAAACACTTATGAACGACGTCTAATGGCCATTTTAACCGATGGCTTTAGTTCATCATCCGACCACAAACGTAACCTTTTCACTTTCAGGGAATCATTTGAGTTAAAAGAAAAAAAGTAAATCTAATGACAAAAACTGTCATAYCGTTTAGATCAAAGAAAAAAAAAACGATCGAAACTCATTAACATTTGTGTAAAACAGTTATGTCCAGACAGTGACATACATTTTGAAAGTCCTTAGTTAAAAGGTCTCATGGTCGCTTTCCATGGATAACTCGTCCAATACGTGTCAACACCATATGATATGTGTACATTCCTGTAAGTGACCCTTTGCATGCTTTGCATAACTTTCTTATCTTTTTTGGGATTAGTTTTAAAAACAGTGACTTTCGTACTGGTCACATCGTGTCCCGTTGGCATATCTTGTAGGCTATTTGTCAGTAGTCCATGATTAATCAACGAGGCGGACGGATTAAGGGGGCTGCACAAACATAGCTGACTGAGCATTAAAGAAGATGTATCGTGATAACTATAGTCTTCTCTTTTTTTTTGTACCATCGCTCTCTATGAGGACATTGCGATGAAAGACTATGATTATCAATCAATCGTCGTTAAACAAAACACTCATGTTAGATATACAAAAACAATATTTTTTTAAAAAACGATAACGATAACATCGATCAAAGAACATCAGTGCGAACAATGACAACCAATAACAATGATGATGGCAATAATGTAGATAGTGACAGTGGTAACTTTATGTCGACAACAAAAATCGTAAACATTTTACCTCTGTTTTAAGATCGTTGTTCARATTGCGGGCTTAATATTATAGTTGTTCGTTCACGGACTTCTAGTTTTTCTGTTCACGGGTTTATAGCTGTTTACACTTAATGAATTTTGCTAGCAGTTATATTCTTTTAAACATATTTCGTATCAATTTGATGAAATTGCAATTTAAATCCAAAATAAWATCCGACAAGTGCAGGAAAGATGGAGTTCAAAATGTCATTTTTCTTGTCTCAACAGATTGGTTGTGAATGTTGCAAGTATGTCAATCGGTCGAATCAATCGAAGCTCTACACAGTATGCGGGAATTGTAAGTCTTTTGTTTAAAAATAGACCGTTTTGCCAACGGAGTTCATCCTTTCCCATCGCAAGAGCTCACTTCAACCCTTGGAGAAGGGATCACTTATTCCACTAAACCTTTTATATCCGCGCCGTTCAACCCCACCCCTCCCCTAGTGCAAATCTAAAATCTGTTATAATTGGCTAGCGGTTTGTTTGCAGGACAATATCAAGTTATTTATCAGAGCATGTGAGGCCCTCGGCTTTGAAAAATCCCAGTTATTTGATGCAGATGATCTACAGGAAGTACCGGTTAAACGAGGCCAGAGTGTGTAAGTATTGGTTTGGTGGTTAACAATCTCGCTTTGTTTTTGTTGTTTGGTGGGTTAGTTTTTCTGATTTTCTCTCCAAGTATTTTTGCTTATTGTTTGATGTGTTTTTTTCCTTTATGTTTTTTACACTTTGTTCTTGTTTTTGTTGTTATTAATGTTGTTTTTGTTGCTGTAAAGCACTATGGGGTACAAAATGAAAAAGCACTCTTTTAAAAATAAAACAGTAGACGTGGTAGCCCGYTACKAGWTAGCATTMATTGAACTTGTTTCTCGTTTTTCATCAGTGCCTKATCGCTAGCAMCTTTTCGCACAATATAACAACAGGCCATGAAACTCTGACTATAAGTTTGAATAGCAACGATGTTGCGCAACAAATTGAGTGTTTTGAATGTAGCGTTAATGATTTTATGGAATGTAGATATGACATCACAATATGACATCAGTTGTCTTTAGAACGGTTATCATGACAATCATTATTATTCCGAAAATTAACTCTTGGATTTCTAGTGATATTTGTTTCTTCTTTATTCCTGTCTTTGATTCTTTTCTTCAATATTCACAGTGTGGCATAATAATATTTTGGCTTGTATGATGCGTGTCAAGCCTCAAAACTGATACATATCAAAGGGACTTCCTCAACTGCCACGAATTTGATGCTCAACTGCGGCTTATACTTTATCCAGAAAAACTGAAAATTTAAGTTAGTTTTTTGGATATTTCTCGAGCTAAAATTTAGTGATTCCAAGATTGTGTGCAAAGTATTCTGCTCACAACTTTACATCAATGAATAATGTATTTCTAACAGGTGCTTTACGAGTCCATTGACAAACTTTTTTT